TTTTCATTGTGCCCGAGGCAAAAGAAATATCAAACAATCCCTTTTTATAAGTAAGTTGGTACCAAAGAATGTAATGTGTTTATATCCCCAACAACTTAGTAGCCATTTGAGTAAATACCAAACATAATTGTAAAAACAAAAACAAAAACAAACAAACAAAACAACCAAGTTTACTTTTAAATGACTACAATTACTTACTAAAGGGAAATGTGTGCCTTCTGGGCACTGCACAGCTTCTCACATTTTAAAATCAGATTAGACACCAACACCCTCATTTCCTATTCCACACTGATTTCCATTTAGTACTTTTTTATTTTTTCTTTTCATTTAAATCACATCAACCACTGAAAATCCTGCTTCACAAAGATAGGACATCCTGGAAAGCAAGGTAGATGGAACTAAGAATGGAGTCAGGAAGTCCCTTTAGTTAGCTCCACAGACTAAACCTCCCACCCCCTGCATACCTTACGTGTGAAATGGAGGAGAATTTCCTTTGGTATCAGTGCTCTGTCAACAGAATTTCAGCCAATTTTTCTCTTTTGAGCTCAGCGCTTGACCCCTACCTTTGGGAGTACTGGAAATCCCTAAGCACTGAGATTCTCAGGGTTCCTCTGGGACTAATGATTTGACTACTCACCCACATAAGGTTCTGGGTTTAGTTACTCCGGTTTTTTTTTGTTTGTTTGTTTGGTTGGTTGGTTGGTTGGTGTTTGTTTGTTTGTTTTGAGATGGAGTTTCGCTCTTGTTGCCCAGGCTGGAGTGCAATGGCGCAATCTCGGCTCACTGCAACCTCTGCTTCCCAGGTTCAAGCGATTCTCCTGCCTCAGCCTCCCAAGTAGCTGAGATTACAGGCACACACCACCATGCCCGCCTAATTTTTTTACTTTTAGTAGGGACGGGATTTCACTCTGGCCAGGCTGGTCTTGAACTCCTAACCTCAGGTGATCCGCCCGCCTCGACCTCCCAGAGTGCTGGAATTATAGGCGTGAGCCACCGTGCCTGGCCTAGTTACTCTGTTTTTAAATTAGTCACCATTCCTCAGTCACCTTCTGATTCCTAATAAAACTGTCAATATCTTTATTCAGTGGTGGACTCTCAGAACTCTCTTCTTTTTCCATGTTAGTTGATGGTTTGATTTGGTTGTGTTTTTATTTTAAATTAGTAGACTTTATTTCTTAGAGAGGTTTTCAGTTTACACAAAAATTTAACAGGAAGTATCGAGTTCCCATACTCTCTATCTCCAATGCCCCTCCCCAACACCAGTTTTCACTATTGTTTTTCCACTGTATTTCTTTTTTTAATTTAACTCATTTTAAGTTCAGGGGTACATGTGAAAGTTTGTTACACAGGTAAACTTTGTCATGGGGGTTTGTTGTACAGATTATTTCATCACCCAGGTATTAAGCCTAGTATCCATCAGTTATTTTTCCTGATCCTTTCCCTCCTCCCACCCTCCACCCTCCCAAAGGCCCCAGTGTGTGTTGTTCTCTGTATGTGTCCACGTGTTCTCATCATTTAGCTCCCACTTATAAGTGAGAACATGCAGTATTTGGTTTTATTTTCCTATGTTAGTTTGCTGAGGATAATGGCCTCCAGCTCCATCCATATCCCTGCAAAGGACATGATCTCATTCTTGTTTTATGGCTGCATAGTATTCCATGGTGTATACGTACCACATTTTCTTTATCCAGTCTGTCACTGATGGGCATTTAGGTTAACTGCATGCTTTTGCTATTGTGAATAGTCTTGCAAGGAACATACATGTTCATGTGTCTTTATAACGATAAAATTCCATTTCTATTATTGCAGTGGGGTTTCGAAAAGAGAAAAACCAGGTTCATCAATGCAACATTTTTAACTGGAAATTCAGACTGGATTCTGAAAATGACTCAATCTTGGCAAGGTTAGGGATAAAAGTAGAGAATCTCTGGTATTGCCCAAATGAAGGATATGCTGTTATTAGATAATTCATGGTCATCCATTGTCTATACCAAATACTGAGAGATTGTGTATTTTGGATCTCGCAAAACTTCCTTTGCTGCCCAGGTACCTAATATTTCAGGATGTTCTAAGGTTCACTTCAGTGCCACTTCTTTCCACAGCAAGGTTGCCCTAATCAATGGGGGGACTTTTTTTTTTTAAATCACCCATCTCCTATTCAAAATATCCATTCATTTCTTCACAGAGACTTAGTCTCTACATTGGTGGGGAATGAGAACAAGTTTTACTCAGGTAGTAATTCTAGGTGATTTGCAGATAGTTTTGCATTTGAGTTTTATCCACCTCCAATTCTGCAAACTTTTTACATTATGAAAAAATAGTACTTTTAAAATACCTGAACACTTCCGTATCTACTTTATCTATTCCTAGATATCACTTTCAAAATAAAAATGATTTCTTATTCCTATTAAGGAATAAGATATGTTATTTTGGAGAAGACATGATATAGTTTCCAATTTAGTTATAGATTAAACATTACCAAATCCAAAAAGTTCCTATATTATTCCTTCTACTCAGCTCCCTAAAAGACTATGAAATTATTGTTTCTTTGAAAGTTTTAAATGCCAGAAATCTTAATATTAGTGAGCATGCAACCATGTTTCACTATTGATCCTGGATTCAAAGTTGGCAGTTAAAACTTCTACTTCAGGTGAAATTCGCAGAAACAAACAATTGCTTTTATTCTATATTCACATAGGGTATGTGTTAAGTTCAGATTTTATAAAGGAAAAAAATGCCTTAAAAATACCTGTTTCATTGTATTAAATAGAAAGTTATGCTTCTGCAAGCAGGAACATAGATTATGTAAACTAATCTTTGCAATTGCTCATCAGCACATGTGGAAGATTAACTTTCCAGTCTTTTAGAAGCTTGAAAAGACTTGGTTAGTGTTTAGAATGAAAAATTGTTATCAGATATTGAAATACAGGAGAAAAGATGGATGGATTTCATTTTTATTGCAGAAATTAGTCACTGAATCCTGATCTTAGAGCTTCTTTTCAAATTATATTTGTTACCTGGAGACAGCAGTACATGTTTAAAAAAAAAATTCTGGATTGGTTAGCTTCAAGAAAGTTATATATACCTTTATTTTAAAAACAATTACACACAAACGCACACACATCATTGTTTTGCAAGCTTTCCCAGTAAGAGTAGGGCCACCATATGTGAAAAACTCTTTGTGGAGATGCCCTGAAATTCTATATTATCTTTTGGTTTCTTAACATGTATATTAACACTCATTATTTTATTATGATATATGTAGCACTTTCCATACGGATTCAGCTCCGTCTGGAGATTGTAAATTTTTGGAAGCATAAGCCATGATTTTTCTTAGTAAATAAAATGGCAACATCTGCACATTACTAAAACTATAGTAAAAACCTTAATAAATATGTGCAAAATATTTTTCAAAATAAGAGGTCTTGGTTACAAGCAAAAGAAACTGATGCTGGTGACCATAAGCAATATGGAAATATAGAAGAAAGATAATGTCAACTCCAAGGGATTTCCAAGGACTTAGGTTAGAAGATGCACAGAATTCAAGACAGCTCTGAGGAGCCAAGAATGTGGACCTCGGTGTCCCCTTATCTTTGCTCAGTAGCACCAGGCCTGAGAGTGGAACAGGCAGTCAGCCAAACATTAGATGCATGCCCACATACTGCTAGAGTCAAGGAGGGAGGTGTGGCCCTCTGGCAGCTATATTGGTCTCAACAGTTAACCCACTGGGGAATGCCCCAAAGCCACAACTGGGGTAAATTTTGAGTAGGCAAAAATTTACAAATCGAACTGCCCCTTAACCTCGCACATGCCTTATCTCACATGACATTTCTAAAGAATTTCATTTTATAAATAATACTTCTCTGAATGTAATGGAATATATTCCTTACGAATAAAATTGTGCATATTGATTCTGCGAGGAAAGTCAGGTCTCATCAGCCTAGAATCAGACGATCATGTCCATTTATTCTGTGGAATCATTATGTTCTATCTCCTTTTTTGTCATTAGAGTGCTACTACTTACACAAATTGATGAAATCACCCGTAAAATATGATATCATATGTGTTACATTTTCTCTCTATTCTGTAACCGCTTATAGAAACCGTGATGTCTTAGTTTATTTGTGTTCAAACCAACTCAATTTTTTAATTCCAAAAAATCCAGTTGGGTGGGAAGGATCATCTCTCATTTGTTTTTACTAAATGTGTCTTTATACTAAAGATCCCATTTAGTTACTTTTTTGCAAATGGGAAAATAAGTGATTTTGATTTTTTTTCACATTGCTTTTTGAATAGTTGAGACTCTACAGCAAAAGTAAATATACTTCCTTAATACTTCTAAATGAGTAGTTCAGGACAGGTGCGGGTGGTTCATACCTGTAATTCCAGTACTTTGGGAGCCTGAGGCAAGTGCATCGCTTGAACCCAGGAGGCAGAAGTTGCAGTGAGCTGAGATTTCACCACTGCACTCCTGTCTGGGTGACAGAGTAAGACTCTGTCTCAAAAAAGAAAAAAAAAAAGTAGTTTGTTAAGTAACACTTAAGTAGGCAGTATGTTCTTGCATTCTTTTTGAATTCTGATTACCTACAATACAACCATAGTGAATTAATTTTGGGGAGAATGGGCTTCATTTTCTTATTCTTTATTGTACTTTAAGTATGGTACCATTCTTTGAAGCCATGAACGTACAACCCTCTCAACATTTAAAAAATGATGAGTTGGACTGGATGCAGTAAAAAGAGAGAACTGCTATGAATTGTCCAAAAACTCCCTAGCCTGGAAGATGCCCAAATTCACACTACCATAGTTACAATTTTTTAGGACATAAATTACCTTTCAAAATAATTATTGAAATAGAAAAAGAAACATATTAAAACCTTTTAAAATACAAATCTATTAAAAAACATTTTATATAGTACAACGTTAGATTACATAGGAATTTTATAAAACTGAAATATGAAAAGTGTTTAATAATACTTTACTTCACTGGAAGCCTTTAGGTTTATCTAATGTCTATCTGGAATCTGTTGTGATGAGAAGGATTTAATAGTTAACAATTTAATAAATTTTAAATTTGAGTGGTTTTTTTTCAGTCCTATTTTGTAGTATATATTTCAGCAGACTTATGAATACTTCAGCAAAACAAGAATAACAGTGGGTCCTACCTCATAGAATTATTATGAGGATTGAAAGACATAAGGCATATGAAGATATTAACATGAACAATTTTAATCATAATAGTAATATTAATAGTGCTCTTATTCCTTTTACTGCGTTTAGGAACAAATATGCTTAAGATTTTAACCTAAAAATCTTGATATACACTGTAACTACCACAATGACATGTAGTGTACAAGATTTTGAATTTAATAAAGCACGTTCAAAAATCGGTGCTAATGCCGGACCACAAAAGTGTTCCTAAAATTATGCCAAATTGAGTAATATGTTTTTCGTTTGTATCATAGCAATCAGAACAAGTACTTTATGAGTTTGAACATATGGGGAGAATTTAGCAAACGAACTTTTTATCTTAAAAGTTAATAGATTCTCCACATGTAGCAATGCATTAGTGAAGCTATTATCTGGGAAAGATTAAAAAATAAAGACACAAATGAATGGAATTTCTGCAAGAGGGAGGAGAAAAGAAAGGGAGAGAAAGGGAGAGGAAGATGTCTTAATAGGAAATGTGCACATTGGCCGTTCTGCCTTTCCGTACCGGGCCGCGCAGGAGACGCCATCATGGGAGTTGACATCCGCCAAAACAAGGACCGAAAGGTTCGGCGCCAGGAGCCCAAGAGCCAGGGTATCTACCTGATATCCTGTGTCAAGCTGTGGGTCAAGCTGTACAGGTTTCTGGCCAGACGAACCAACTCCACATTCAACCAGGTTGTGCTGAAGTGGTTGTTTATGAGTCCTACCAACCGACCACTTCTTTCCCTTTCCCGGATGATCTGGAAAATGAAGCTTCCTGGCTGGGAAAACAAAACGGCCATGGTTGTGGGGACCATAACAGATGACGTGCGGGTTCAGGAGGTGCCCAAACTGAAGGTGTGTGCGCTGCGTGTGACCAGCTTGGCCCGCAGTCGCATCATCAGGGCGGCGGACAAAATCCCCAAAGGCTGCGGCACCGTCCTGCTCTCCAGTCCTCGCAAGGGCCGAAAGATGAACCTGCATTTCAGCAAGGCCCCGGGAACCCCGCCCAGCCACGCCAAACCCTACGTCCGCTCCAAGGGCCGGAAGTTCGAGCGCGCCAGATGCGCACAGGCCAGCTGAGGCTGCAAAAACACCCTGGATCCTACTGTCTTATTAAAACGATTTTGGACGCTGAAGAAAAGAAAACAAAATGTGCACATTGACGTTGCAGTCAGGGGTGACAAAGTCTCTTAAGTAGCTTTTCACATGAGGTTTCTTATTGTTGGTTTACTCCAAATGTTGTCAAACTTTCACATGAGGTTTCTTATTGTTGGTTTACTCCAAATGTTGTCAAACTTCCACACGGTACATCAGAATTGGCTGGAGAGCTTAATAAAACACAGATTTCTGGGTCTCACCCCCAGATTCTGATTTGTAGTTGGGTGGGACCCCAGAATTCACATTTTGAGTTCCCAGTTGATCTCATCATGCTGGCCTGGCGAACCTCACTTCGACAACCACCTGTCTAGTTTGTAACAGATTGACGGGCTACAGCTTCATTCCACAAGTTGGTAAGGAAATCTAAAACAGTGTTTTCACGAATAATAAATATGAGTGATACAATTCATTTTCTCAGATTTTTACCGATTATTGTTAAGAATAAGCTATTAAAAGTTTGTTACATATATAAACAATTATCCCATATCCTGAGGGTTGCGTGTAAATGTAGCTATCCCACAAACATATTTAAAAGCACAAATTAGACACGATAAGCACTTTTAGCCATGGGAAATAAATAAGAATAGAGAACACCAATTAAATTGATACAAATTAAGGCCAGGCGTGGTGGCTCACGCCTGTAATCCCAGCAATTTGGGAGGCCGAGGTGGGAAGATGGCCCGTGCCCATAAGTTCTAGACCAGCCTGGACAACAAAGTAAGACCCAGTCTCTACGAAAAATTAACTCACATGGTGCCATATTTCTGTAGTCTCAGCTACTTGGGAGGCTGAGCTGGAAGGATCGCTTGAACCCTAGGAGGTTGAGGCTGCAATGAGTCATGATCACGCCACTGTACTCTAGCCTGGGTGACAGAGTCAGACTCTGACCCCCCCACCAAAATAACTGTACAAATTAAAACAACAATGAAACACCATTTTTCCCATTTCAGAAAGGGCTTCTGAAAATATTTTATAATATCCTTTACCTTGTTGGTGGAAGTCTAAGTTCATGCCACCTAGAGAAAGGTGAGTTTCTCTGGTGAGATTCGGAGTCATTATTTATACTTATTATGGTTTCTTATACTTAAACAAAACTATAAAATATGTAATGAAAATGCATTATAATGTTTTAAAAACCAGTCTTCACTATGAATCATGAATATGAGTAAAACATATTTTAAAATAAAATTGTCTTCTTCATAAACATCCTCTGTAGTTATATTTGGTCACTTTGTAAACAATATATTTAGTAAATTGATGGTGAATGGTAGAGAATTGGCACAGGAGGAGAAAAGGTAGATGCAGACGGGCAGCAAGGTAACACAGAGAAAGGGATTTTAGTTCTGGAGTGGAGGAGTCATGATGCTGACCACCTGTGTTGTACAACTCGTATGTCCTCACTAGATAGCTTCTCTCTACAGAAATAGCCATTAGTTCATTAACTGCTCCCAGGTCTGCAACTGCTCTGACCATCCAGGTTAATAGCATTGCTCCTGGGCTAGCTGATGTTACTAAATTCTCATATTCTTAAAGAACCACATATAAGAAAGCACAGCCCAAATAAAGCACCCGTGTTATTTAGCAGGATACTCCAACTGAACGCCGTTGCCACATTTGTAGTCTTTTTTATTTCCTTAAACAAATATCCTTTATTCACAGGAGAAACTCTTCCATAGCAACATGAAATAATCTTTCCTACATGTCATCAGCAATTATATGAATATGTATATGTGTATATACCTATATATGTATGTGTGTATATATATTTGTGTATATATGTATGTATACATATATACACACGTATCAAAGTAGATTTGTAGGTGAAAGAACAAAAAATGGCAAATGTCAATATCAAAACCTCTATTGCTATAGTTCCTAAAATATATGAAATGCATTAGCATTTTCTGAAAGTTAATTTTCTTGATATTTAAATCATATAAAAATATTGGGCGAACTAATCATGTTCTACACTAAAAAGGCTAATGAGGCTGGGAAACATAAAGAAATTAATCTACATTCAGGACTAAGTTAACCTGTTTTGTAAGCCTCTGGGAACCACTTAACAGAAATTGCATAATCTTGCATAATAGCAAATCGACTGAATAGAAGTTTGCTGATCTAGCATTTAATTCTTGCAGAGCAATTATTGGGAAAGGGTGTTCTGTCTGATAATAAAATTAACATTGCTACTGTATTTAGATTTTTTAAATCCCGTGGAAAGATGAATTTGGTGGAGATGTGATCTCACACACACACGTGCACGTGCACACACAAACACACACGCACACATCCTCCAGTGGTATAAGAAAGCCTCATTCTTTAACCATACTAATGTATTTCTTTTCATGATACCAGTTGATGCAACTGTGCAGTTCGATGTTGATAACGGATGAAATGCATGGCTCTTCCTTACACATCAACGCAAAGTTCATACAGATTGTTTTTCTGTTTTTCTGTTTTCTACCATCACAAACAAGTATCCTTTGGTAACATCTAGATACATGAGACGTACACCTTCCCCAACCCTGATAGCTTATCTAAGTTGATAATTTTTAAGTTTTTATTTTAGTAATTAAAAACAACTTTCAAAAATAGGACATAGGAAATAACAATCTCCCTTTTTTAGAAACCAGCTTTTCTTACTCTTATATTTTAATGACTTCATCTTGGACTTGCCCTCCCTACATACTGATTTTTGAATCATCTTTCTGAACGTAGACTGATTAGAATTTACAGCTGTTCAGAAACAACAGATGCAACTTTGGTTGCAAAATGAAATTCGAACTCCTTACTAAGGACACAGCCTGATCAGAACATTTCAGCGCAGCCTCTTTCTCACCATACAATTCCACATATCCTTTTTAAATTCCCTTTTGGGTGGGCGCGGTGTCTCACGACTGTAATTACAGCAGTTTGGGAGGCTGAGGCGGGTGGATCACCTGAGGTCAGGAGTTTGAGACCAGCCTGGCCAACATGGTAAAATCCTGTCTCTACTGAAAATACAAAAACCAGCTGGGTGTGGTGGCAGGTGCCTGTAATTCTAGCTACTCGGGAGGCTGAGACAAGAGAATCGCTTGAATCCAGGAGGCAGAGGTTGTGGTGAACTGAGATTGTGCCATTGCACCCCAGCCTGAGCAACAAGAGCGAAACTGTCTCAAAAAACAAAAAAGGGCCAGGTGCCATGTCTCATGTTTGTAATCCCAGCACTTTGGGAGGCTGAGACGGGCAGATCACTTGAGGTTGGGAGTTCAAGACCAGCCTGACCAATATGGAGAAACCCCATCTCTACTACAAATACCAAAAATTAGCCGGGCGTGGTTGTGCATGCCTGTAATCCCAGCTACTCAGGAGGCTGAGGCAAGAGAATCGCTTGAACCCAGGAGGCGGAGGTTGCAGTGAGCTGAGATCGCGTCACTGCACTCCAGCCTGGGCAACAAGAGCGAAACATCATCTCAAAAAAAATAAAAAATAAAAAAATCCCACTCATTCCTGTAAATTTGGGTGCCACTTGTTAACTAACTTTCTTCTCTCATCCCCAAGGATCAACCTCCACCATCTCCACCATCTCCACCATCATCAGGACCCAGGTCATCTTTTACAACTCTCTCTGTGTCTGATAACGTTGACCCATGTTAGCCTGGAGCTCCAGGATCACGGATCTTTCTGAGGTCAGCTCAGTGCCATCACTTTACAGCCTTGTTCCCAGTTCCTCAGTACACCACTGGAGAAAGACTGCCTATGAGAAATAGTCTTTATTGGTGCTTAAGGGAAATCTAAAAGAAATTACAGTATAAATGAAACTTGAAACCCTATCTTAATGTAATTGTTTATAGAGTTCAGGAGAAAAAAAAAAAGACCAAGTTCTTCCCATGATGTTTTCAAAAATGGCCCCCATTGCTAATTCTAATTATCTTTGTTATTTACTAGTCACCTACTCCTTGATAAAAACCATGATTTTGAAGCCCTGCAGTCTAAACCCTCATTCCTCTTTAGAAAAATTCAACTCCTACTGTCAGGGGTTAAGGCAATCCTACTATCTTTCTCCATCTTCTCCCCCAACCAGGACAGCCTAGTCGACACAATAGTTCAGTAGCAGCATGTTTTCCAGAGTCTGAGATATTATTTCAAAAATTGCACCACAGCTGGACTTGGGCAAGTGATTCAGGATGGTTCAGAACAGGCCCTGACAGACTACATCATTATCTTTGAGTTCTTTGCACGTAAGAAGGGAAGATATGACTCTTTCTTCTTCCTATAGTAGTCCAGCCTCTTTTTGTAGGTTACTGTGGAGGGGATGCATCCGAGTGCATGCGTGTGCACACACACCCAGACGTGCATTGTCCTACATTCATTCTTTCAATGGATATCTTTTGAGATCTCCCAGGTTTCAGCCACTGTGATCAGAAATGTGTTTACAATAATAAACCAAGCAGAGTTGGAGCTTACAGTCATGTGAGAAAGGCAAGTCACGTCAAACACAAATCTTAACTAGTCAGTGTGATAAGCACAGCAAAGGAAAATTGTAAAGCATGCTGAAATCGCTCAGTCGAGGGTCCTGACCCAGTGTTGGGGTCAGAGAAGGTGTTACTGACAAAGTGACTCTGAATTTCTATCTAAAGTCTAAGTATTGATTAGGTGAAAAAGGAAAACTTGTGACCAGAGGAAGCATCTCTTAAGGCTTAGAATTGCTCCAAATTGTACCAGACAGTGTAAGACTAACTCAAGACAGACCCATCACTCCTACAAAACATAATTCCAATGATATACTCCTGTGATGATACATCAATAAAATCATATTTAAACATGAAGGGCTATATATTTTTTTAAGTCCTGATGTGGCTAGATTTAAAAGTAAAAATATACATTTATCTTATATCTGAAAAGCTCTGTCTTTTGACATTTTAATATCAGCCACTGCCAAAGTTATCTTGGGAACCATTTTCCTTTGATCACAGAAGCCTCAATGGCACTTTATCTTCTGGCAAATAATAGACTGATTACATACGTTTGCTTTAACCTTCTGAAATTGCTGGGAAAGAGCATATCTATAAATATACAGTGATAATTGATGGTCAAAATGCCAGTTGGGGTTTGAGCTCATGGAACAATTTTAGGCTCACAAAAGAGAACAAGTTAAAATTTCTCAGAGCTTGTATTGCTTCTAAAGATTCTTTCCTTTATGCACTGTGATTTCTTAATGGGCTCTAGTGACACTGTTACACATTTATAATGCCTCTCTTCTGAGTAGTCAAAATGCAACCATTATGTTTTCTTAACCTATTAATGCAGTAATACTTGATTAAATGCATAGGGAAAATGAAAAATTCAAAAAG